ACCCCACAACTGGCATCTCGGACCCTTCTGTCTCTCAAAGGCTCTTTAGGGCTTCATCCTGACGAGGGGGGACAGGATAGCAGTCTTCCAGTATCTCAGGGGCTGCCCCAAAGAAGAGGGAGTCAAGCTCTTCTCCAAAGCGCCTGAAGGCAGGACAAGAAGCAATTGATGGAAACTCATCAAGGAGAGAAGCAACCTGGGACTAAGGAGGAATTTCCTGACAGTGAGAACAATTAACCAGTGGAACCACCTGCCTCCAGAAGCGGTGGATGCTCCAACACTGGAGGCTTTTAAGAAGAGACTGGATAGCCATTTGTCTGAAATGGTATAGGGTTTCTTGCCTGAGCAGGGGATTGGACTAGATGACCTCCAAGGTCCCTTCCAACTTTACTATTATTGTTGTTGTTGATGTTGTTGTTATTATTATTATTATTATTGTTGTTGTTGTTGTTGTTGTTATCTAGTTTAACGAAGAGAAGGATGAGGAGTGACATGATAGCAGTATTTCAGTATTTGAGGGGCTGCCCCAAAGAAGAAGGAGTCAAGCTATTCTCCAAAGCGCCTGAAAGCAGGACAAGAAGCAACGGATGGAAACTAATCAAGGAGAGAAGCAACCTGGAATTAAGGAGAAACTTCCTGACAGTGAGAACAATTAACCAGTGGAACAACCTGCCTCCAGAAGTTGTGGGTGCTCCATCACTGGAGGTTTTTAAGAAGAGACTGGACAGCCATTTGTCTGAAATGGCATAGAGTCTCCTGCTTGAGCAGGGGGCTGGACTAGAAGACCTCCAAGTTCCCTTCCCACTCTATTCTGATTGATTGACTTTGGAAAAAGTGCAGAGAAGAGCAATTAAAATGACTTAAGGCCTGCAGACTAAAACATATGAAGAACGATTGCAGGATTTGGGTACGGCCAGTCTAGAGAAAAGAAGGTCTAGGGGTGACATGATAGCACTCTTCCAATATTTGAGGGGCTGCCCCAAAGAAGAAGGGGGGTTCACCTCTTCTCCAAAGCACCTGAAGGCCAGACAAGAAAGAAAGGATGGAAACTAACCAAGGAGAGAAACAACGTAGAGCTAAGGAGAAACTTCCTAACAGTGACGACAATCAACCAGTGGAACAACTTGCCACCAGAAGTTGTGGGTGCTCCATCACTGGAGATTTTGAAGAAGAGACTGGACAGCCACCTGTCTGAAATGGCTTAGGGTCCACCTGCAGGTGGAAAGTTGAGAAATGCTCCAACACTGGAAGTTTTTAAGAAGACACTGGACAGCCATTTGTCTGAAATGTTACAGGATCTCCTGCCTGAGCAGGGGGTTGGACTAGAAGACCTCCGAGGTCCCTTCTGAACAACGGCAGTAAGGTTCCAGCAAGTTATGGACCCAAGGAAGCCGAGTCAAGGTAATTGGAGGCCAGCGGTCCACACGGCTTCTTGGAAACTCTTTTTCCGCTTGGGAAAAAAAAATAAAAATAAACCGACCTTCCATCAGCAGGGTTCGTGTTTGGCCAGAGCCTTCTTCCTGGACCGGAATAATTGGGCGAGATTGTCATCAAAGATACCCGGTGTGTGTGTGTGTGGGAATTGTTCAAAGGAGGTGAGCAGAACTTGCCCTCCTCCCCTCCGGGTCTGCGCAAAGAAGCTGGCCTGCTTCGTTTGCCAACAAAGGGGGTCTGTTTGCCGAAACCCCCCCCCAACCTCAAACAAAGGCAGCAATTTAAGGCAACCGGCCGATGATGGGTCACCTTGCAGGACATTCCCCTGGAAACCGAAGCGGGGCTGGTCATTCATTCCCTGCAGGTGGAAAGAACCTCATTAATCTTTCTCAGCCGGCGTAATCGCTCCTTTTGATGGTTAACTGCGCCCCGGAGACCTCCTCAAGCTTTATTTTAATTATCTCTGCAGCCTCTGGGCCTCGCGCTCTCTCTCTCCCTTCCTATTAAGGCAGGCCGGTTCATCCTGGTTCATCCACGCTGGGAACAAATGTGGCGACCGCTTTGGGAAGAAGGCTGTGTAGTCCAGGGCTTTTCAACCTTTTCACCCATTGGACCACTTTTAGGAGAGGGCGACATCCGAGGACCACCCGTCGCCTAGCAAGGGGTCAAAACCTTGAGGACCAAAAGTGATAAAAGTACAGGGAGTCCTCGACTTACAACAGTTCGCTTAGCGACTGTTCGAAGTCACAATGGCACTGAAAAAAGTGCCCCCCCCAAGCCACAGCTGAGCAAGACACCTGCCTGCCCACCCGGCGGCACTCTTCCTCCTGTCCGAGGTTTCCATTGTTGTGAGCATTTCTGTTGAGGATTGGCTGCGGGGGTGGGGTGGGGGGGTGTTTGGTTTTTATTCCCCCCCCCCCGTCTTCTGGGTGGTTGCAGCAGGTTTTGGTCCCTTCACATGACCCTGGGACACTGTGACCGTCATAAATATGAATCAGTGGCCAAGCATCTGAATGTAAATCACAAGACCCTGGAGAGGCTGCAACATTCCAGCTGATTGGCGCTTCTTCTGGGCTCAGCAGAAGTACCAGGATCAGCGCTGAGCTCCAGCTGGATCCTGGTGCTGATCCTGGCGCTTCCGCTGAGCCCGGACAGCCCTGCAGCTCCAGCCGTCTCTCGCTCAGACTTGTGTGGTGCTGCCACCGGTTCAGCTCATTCCCCTCCCCTGCTACCACTTGTCTAGGATGGTTGCGTACCACCTGCCAGGTGCCAATGTACCACAGGTGGTACCCGTACCACTGGTTGAAAAGCCCTGGTGTAGTTCAGTGATGGTGAACCTTTTAGAGGCCGAGGCCCGAGCTGCAACCCAAAACCCCACTTATTTCTCGCGGGTGCCCGGTGGGACGTGGCCCACTGGGTGGGCATGGCTGTGGTGGTCATGGCAGACTGGGTGGGTATGGCCAAAGTGGGTATGGCCAACCCAATGTTGCTCATGGGGAGGGACGCCTGTGGGCAGGGTTGGGGGAGATCCAGGGGGTCTCTGGCAGGTGGGGGGGTGGGCAGGAGGCTCATCCTGCGGGGTGAGGCGAGGCGAGGCAGGGCGGGAATACCATTGCCACGGGGCTGCCTGACACCATCGGCCTCTGCACACAGAGGCCAGCGAGCGCATGGGGGCCAACAGTGTCCGTCAGCAGCCACAGCCTGATGGCTCCTTGACCGGCATACTCTGGGACTCCACAGCCCACCACCAGCAGTTCAGAGAAGCCACCCCTGGGGTGGACAGCTGGCCAACAGGTGAGGAGGCGATGCAGTGGGTCGTGCCCGGGAAAAGGAGAGCATGCGAGGCCAGGACGGGCGGGACAGGGGAGAGGGAAACCAGCCGTGCCAGGATGGCCACGTGGGACCTCGGGCAGCTGATTGAAGAGGGACAGTTGCCATCTCTGGGGCACGGCACACGTGCCCCCAAAGAGGGCTCTGAGTGCCGCCTCTGGCACCCGTGCCATAGGTTCGCCACCACTGTTGTAGTTTATTGGAGAGGAGAGCAGACAGGAAGATGGTTCTGGCAGCAAGAGAAGTGGGGGGAAAAAAAGGGCTGAGCACATGTAGGAAGTAGGTTTTTATACCCTCCGGAGCCTTTTGTTTGGGGTTGTTTCCTGGGTCTTGTATTCTGACCTGAATTTTGGGAGTGCCCTTTGGCCTTTGTGAATTAATCCCACCATGTCCCGTCCCAGGTGGGGTATGCAGATTTTAGGCCTTTGTCTTCTTAATCTCCTAGCTCCGACTTTCCCGATAGTTTACATCTGCATTTCTACAGAGCCGGTTTCTGCTTGGGGGAGGCAGACTTGGGGCTATTAAAAAAAAACTTGGCGTGCTTTTCTGTCTCTTTAAGATCCTTAGAGGAAATATGTTTTTTTCTGCCCTTTTAATATTTCCTTCTCTGGGGGGGGGCTGACTTTCCACAATCATTTAAATAGGAGCCCGCCGTGTGCTGCAGCTGCCAAAAAGGCCAACCCAGTGCTAGGCTGCATTAACAGAGGGAGAGAATCAAGATTCACGTGAAGTGTTAATACCACTTTACAAGGCCTTGGTAAGGCCACACTTGGAATACAACATCCAGTTTTAGTCACCACGATGTCAAAAAGATGTTAAGACTCTAGAAAAAGTGCAGAGAAGAGCAACAAAGATGATCAGGGCACTGGAGGCTAAAACATATAAGGAACGGCTGCTGGAATTGGGTATGTCTAGTTTAACGAAGAGAAGGACGAGGGGGGACACGATAGCAGTCTTCCAATATCTCAGGGGCTGCCCCAAAGAAGAGGGAGTCAAGCTATTCTCCAAAGGACCTGAAGGCAGGAAAAGAAGTAATGGGTGGAAACTAACCAAAGAGAGAAGCAACCTAGAACTAAGGAGGAATTAACTGACAGTGAGAACAATTAACCAACCAGAAAGTGTGAATGTTCCAACACTGGAAGTTTTTAAGAAGAGACTGGACAGCCATTTGTCTGAAATGGTATAAGGTTTCCTGCCTGAGCAGGGGGTTGGACTAGCTGACCTTCAAGGTCCCTTCCAACTTTATTATTATTATTAAGTACGTTCCTGACAATGAGAACAGTTAGTTAGTGTAATTACCTCCAGAATAGAATAGAAGAGCAGAGTTGTAGAAGGAACCTAACCGGTTTGTTTGATGAAAATTAATCCAGGAGAGAAGCAACCTGGAACTACGGAGGAATTTCTTAACAGTGAGAACAATTAACCAGTGGAACATCCTGCCTCCAGAAGCAGTGAATGCTGCAAGGCTGGAAGTTTTTAAGAAGAGACTGGACAGCCATTTGTCCGAAATGGGATAGGGTTTCCTGCCTGAGCAGGGGGTTGGACTAGATGACCTCCAAGGTCCCTTCCAACTTTATCATCATCATCATCATCATCATCATCATCATCATCATCATCATCATCATCATCATCATCATTATTATTATTAGTATTATTACTATCCCCAAATGAAGAAGCTGTTCAAAGTTTCCCTTCCTCCCTTCTCCCTTTATTTCTTGCAGTGAATTCCATCTGAGCTTTGCCGGCAGACCCAAATTTTCCTGCGCCCCGGACTTCCAGAACATCCGGTCCGGGAGAGGGAAGCTCCCGTCCATCGCCCCCCAGTTTGGCCCGTCTGGACCTCACCCACCCCTTCGCCCCAGCTCTTCGGAGTCAACGAGAAACAAGCAAAGTAAGGACCCCCCAAAATAATAATAATAATAATTTTGTTTTGCCACGTCATCTGCCGCTTCTTCCAAACGTTCTGATTTCTTTCTCGGTGAACCTTTTGACAGATTGGTGTCCTCCAGATGTGCTGGCCTGATTCCTGAGGTTCTCTCTCTGCTATTCATTTAGTCTTTGACCGATAATAATTCATAGAGAAACTTCCTGACAGTGAGAACAATCAATCAGTGGAACAGCTTGCCACCAGAAGCGGTGAATGCTCAAACACTGGAAGTTTTTAAGAAGAGACCGGACAGACGTTTGTCCGAAACGGTATAGGGTTTCCTGCCTGAGCAGGGGGTTGGACTAGATGACCTCCAAGGTCCCTTCCAACTTTATTATTATTATTAATATCACAGTACAACTGCCTAGTCCAGGGGTAGGCAACCTTGGCTCTTTTATGACTCATGGACTTCAACTCCCAGAATCCCTGAGCCAGCCATGCTGAGGGGAAAGGGAGAGGTTTCCAAGCTGAGCCATGCTGGCTCAGGAATTCTGGGAGTTGAAGTCCACGAGTCATGAAGGGGCCATAGTTCTCTCATGCTGGCTCAGGAATTTTGGGAGTTGAAGTCCAACAGTCATAAAAGAGCCAAGGTTGCCTACCCCTGTCCTAAGTCCTCCTGTTCTAAGCGGTGAGCCTCCTAGACCAGGGATAGGCAACCTTGGCTCTTTTATGACTGGTGGACTTCAACTCCCAGAATTCCTTAGCCAGCCATGCTGAGGGGAAAGGGAGAGGTTTCCAAGCTGAGCCATGCTGGCTCAGGAACTCTGGGAGTTGAAGTCCACCAGTCATAAACGAGCCAAGGTTGCCTACCCCTGGACTAGGTCAGGGGTGGGGATCCTTGGCCCCTTCATGACTGGTGGACTTCAACTCCCAGAATTCCTGAGCCAGCATGGGGGAACTATGGCTCCTTCATGACTGGTGGACTTCAACTCCCAGAATTCCTGAGCCAGCATGGGGGAACTATGGCCCCCTCATGACTCGTGGACTTCAACTCCCAGAATTCCTGAGCCAGTATGGGGGAACTATGGCTCCTTCATGACTGGTGGACTTCAACTCCCAGAATTCCTGAGCCAGCCATGCTGAGGGGAAAGGGAGAGGTTTCCAAGCTGAGCCATGCTGGCTCAGGAATTCTGGGAGTTGAAGTCCACCAGTCACAAAAGAGCCAAGGTTGCCCTCCTGTTCCAAATAGGGTTCAGCTTTCGCAACGTGAGGGGTGCCATCTCCACGTGGTGGAACGTTTCTACATAAAGCTCCGTTTGATGTCAACTGGTAGTTTATGTGCTTTTGCCTCCCTGGTTTTGCCAGCTCCATTTGTAAGGCGCGATGTTTTGTTGTGCTCTTCAGAATGTGGATAAAGGAGAATCGTTGTAGCTCAGGGTTGACGTGAGGGGCTTTTGGTGCTCTGTTGAGCTGGGTGGTTTTCTTGCAGACGTTTCATGACCCAACTAGGTTACATCGTCAGTGCTAGAAGGGAGTGGAATGTTCCACCGCCACTGACAGGGAAAGCTACTAGTATATATAAACTCCCTCCGAGCACTGATGATGTTACCTACTTGGGTAATGAAATGACTGCAAGAAAGCAACTAAGCTGAGAGAGCATGAAGGACCCCACAGTTTTTTCCCTTTTTTCCTCCTCCTCCTCCTCCTCCTCCTCCTCCTCCTCCTCCCAGAAAACCCCCCTCCCTTCTAGCACTGATGATGTTACCTAGTTGGCTCATGAAACGTCTGCAAGAAAACCACCCAGCTGAGAGAGCACCAAGGACCCCACAGACCTCCTCTTCCTCCTCTTCCTCCCCCACCAACCCCACTCCCTTCTAGCACTGATGATGTTACCTAGTTTTGTAATGAAATGTCTGCAAGAAAACAAGCAAGCTCAGAGGGCAGCAAAACCCCCACAATCCTCCTTATCCTTCCTTCCTTCTCCTTCTCATTCCCATCTCCTTCCTTCCCTTCCTCCTTCCTTCCTTCCTTCCTTCCTTCCTTCTTTCCTTCCTTCCTTCCCTTCCTCCTTCCTTCCTTCCTTCTTTCCTTCCTTCCTTCTTTCCTTCCTTCCTTCCTTCCTTCCCTTCCTCCTTCCTTCCTTCCTTCCTTCCTTCCCTTCCTCCTTCCTTCCTTTCCTCCT